CAGCTGTAAAGCAGCTGCACATCCCCACTTCAAAGTTGGCAGGGCAGATGCATTCATCTGTACACCGGGCTCAAAAAATGACACGAGTGGAGGTCACAGAATAGGTGGATACAGAGAAAGTCCAAGCTAACTTGTCTGTGGAGCATTGCGATGCCATCAGACACCCTCTTGGCTCGGTGGCTTCATTCTGCAGCATTATTTTGGATAAGCTGCAAACCTTATTGATTTGCCTGGAGCTATGGTTGGGTTCCCTTTAATTTGATATGAACTTTCCCATGCATGTCTCACTGACGGTTCACTGACGCTTTCCTCTCCATTGACACTAGGGGTTTACTTCCCTGCCCTAGCCAGCCTCTTCTCCCAGAAGGTCCGAGAGAGCGAGCGAGCTTTCACGTGCAGCACGGTGGGGACCGGCTCCCAGTTTGGGTAAGTTCCCCTGGGTTGATGCTCCACTGGGTTTGAGCAGTGAGTGACAAAGTCTTGGGACAGCAGTGCCATTAATTATTGGGGGCAATAAGTCCAGCCCAAAGTGCAGCTGGAACAACGGGAGCTTGAAGGTATCCATTTCAGCTGAAGAGTCTCAGGCAGTTCCTAGGAACATGCAAGCGTATGTGGAAGCCGGCACGTTTTTTGAAAAGCAGTTTGCTCTTAATTGTGTCAATGATTAGTGGGGATTGGCCTTTCCTGCTGGACAATTTTGATGGATTTTCTGCTGCTTTTGACTGCAAAGGGAAGCAGTCTGGCCCAGTAGGAAGAGCAAGGGATCAGACAGTTTAACATCCTTTGTTCTGCGCGCAGCTTTTTCCACTGCCATGTCCTGTGACCCAAATACTAATACATCGCTAAACTTTTCTGCACCTCATTTCCTTTCTCCACGAAGTGAGGGCAGCAATACCGTCCCACCTTTGCAAAGCATCCTACAACAGATGATCTGGCTTTGCCCTGTGCTGAAATGGGAAGTGTTTGCATTTCGGCGCATGTGGTTAGCATGCATGTAAGAGGTATGTAAGATGCCTTGTAGCGTCTCATCGGCAGTTGTTCCAGACATCAGCAGGAAGCAAAGAGATCGATGTGCAACTCATGCAGGTTAACTCTGTTTCAGCACTGGAATGAAGCAATGCTGATTTATATCAAGTGACGATCTCTGGCCCTGAGTATTCAATTAGGAACTTTGGCAGTAGTAAGTAGATGGTCGGTTGGATGGCAGAGTGGCTTTAATAACAGGGCAGCCTCTCCATTCAGACTTGTGGTAGGAAGGATGAGACAGTGCAACAGTATGATAAGATGAATTGCTCCCAAAGGGCTTTATGAATAGCATCCAGTGACCCTCAGCTTGCTCTTACTATTGATTCATGGGCTTGGAGTTTGCACAAAGAACCCTGTCAGGCTCACGATGTGGTTGTCCTTTTCCTTCCAGGACGCTGGTGATTGGTGGGGCAGGGTCCCTCCTTCTGGACTGGTACGGCTGGGAGAGCGTCTTCTATTTCTCCGGGTTCCTCACTTTGCTCTGGGTTTACTGCATGTGCAAATACCTCCTGAATGAGAAAGGTAATCCCCTTGCCATGCTTGCTCATATTGACAAATGTCGATCGCCAGGCTGCACATGTGGAATTGTGTCTGTGCATAGGGAAGATATTTCAGACCCATTAAAGCATCCAAAGCCAGCTAATATGTTTTCACATAGTACGCTGATGGTTTCCCTACTACAAATTGTATTTTAAGCAGTTATAAAATGAAGTGTTTAAAGGCCAAGGGGCCATTGAGCTAATGCGGTGAAGGGACATGTAGCCAGTGGTGCACAGAGATCGACATCATACTTGGCTGCCTTTGAGTCTTCAGCTTGAATGACGTGGTCCCCCTTTATGGCAGGCCCTGGGCAGCCTTTGATGGGAATCTAGAGCAGGGTTTGAATTCAGGCCTCCAGAGTTACAGCATCCCTTCTGCCATTGCACACCATGGGTTTCAAGTCTAGAATAAAATAGATCCAGTGCGTTTGTGTAGACAATGAATGTATCTTTGAATTTCTCTCTTGCAGAACTCATCATCCCTTTTGAGTATTTAGCAAAGGGCCTCTCATTATCCAAACGCACCAAAGTCCCATGGAAGAGGCTGTTTAAAAAGGCCCCTATATGGTAAGTACACGTCCCCGAGGCGGGGGGTGCATTCGCCGCATCCCTCTTTCAGCCTGATGCACAGACTGGTTTTGCTGCCAAGTTGCCCTCACTCGTTTCACATGAGCAAGTCTCTATGAGGTGAGGTGTGCATTGACAGTGTGGTCATTACTCTAAAGGTAACGCCAGAGTAGCTGACCCCTGATGCTGCTTTGCATTTGCCACACACCGTTACCACAAAGCAGCGCAGGTGATGGAAATTCACATGATGCGCTAATAGACTCAAGTCTCTGTGCACGTGGGTGTTACCCGAGGCAGCTCCAGTCCTTTGTGCATCGTCACAGCCAGCATGCAGGTGACAAGCACTGCTGATAAGAAGTCAAGGGCTGTTCAAAGGGCTTGGGTGCTGCAATCTTTGGTTGTGGTGCAGGGAGAAACCACCCTAAAATGCACTTGTTCATTGTTCCCCCTTTTTTTTTTCAAATAAGCAAACTCTGGAAACATTCAGTGCTTGTAGATTAGGGCTCTGAGTTTTATATTGAAGATCATCCAGCCTGGAAGCAAAGAGGCTGGGGGGGTGTTTTGTGTTGCTTGTGGCTATTTAATGAAGGCCTAGTACAGGAGTTGGGGAGACTTATCATATAGGGGGCTTCAATGATGCCTAGGAGATAGGAGGAGGGCCCTTCTAGCCTGACTTCTTCTATGAAACTGAGGACACATGGAGTATACTCCCGGGCTCTGGAAGGGGAACAGAGGACACGCAAATGAGAGTGAAGCTCTGTTCATAACATGAAGGCAGTAATTCTCCTTTGCCTGGTCACAGGGTGGTATCCTGCCAGATGTGGCTCTTTTCTAAACCTTTTGTGCCAGTGGTTAAGTACAGACACCATTCTGCTAGTTACATAGAGGTAGTACTAGTTATCGCTGAAACCATCTCCAGAAACCATTTATAGGTTAATTCATAAACCAGATTGCCTTGAAATATTGGGTCGTTGGGATTCCCTTTTCCCTTGTGTGTGATCTGCCGTCTCTAGCACTGCTTTCTTCCATTATATGTCTTTGCAGGGCTGTCATCGTAGCTCAGCTTTCTACCGGCAGCACGTTTTTCACCCTTCTCTCCTGGTTGCCAACCTTCTTTAAGGAAACTTTCCCTGAGTCCAAGGTAAGCAGAAGAGGACCCGCGAGTGCAATACAAGCAGAGGTCCGCGGGCGTCTCCACACAACCACATTGCTCCTGTTAGGACTGGGAGTCTCTTCACTGATTTCCATGGGCTTTCGAAGAGCCCGCACAAAAATGATCCTCTTGTTCTCCGTACCACTAACACCTGGAGGTTGATAGGGGTATCTTTCCCATCTCGGTTTTCATTTTGAATGGCCCAGTCCTTCTGTTTTGCTCTGAGTTTGCCCAAATTTTGTGTGGGCTCCACCTTGCCACAGGGATCCCTGTAAGAAGGAGACGGGTGTTGGGGAGTAACACTCAGGTTCACTACAAATGGAAACCATGGGACCAACCTCCCAAAAAATAGCATCTTCTTCCTTGCCCCTGGCTTCCTTTGTGGCCCAAAAGGTCTACTTGGAGCTGGGGTAGGAGAGTGCCTGCAGGTTTAGATGAAGGAGAAGGATGGTGCAATAGGTATTTTGGGGGGGGATCAGGCTGAGAGGAAGGGAAAGTGGGTGAGGCTTTTTCGGAGGGAGGTGGAGTGCTTTCCCCCTCATTCCCCCTGCATGTATCTCTGGATAAATGGTGCCTATACAGCTGATTTTTGCAAGTGAGGGCATTGGCAAGTCTGGAGCATTGGTTTGATATGTGTCAGGGTGCAGAGAAGTTTGCACCTCCCGCACATCCCTGCTCCTCTAGGTCCTGACACATGGGCACTCACACCTACTGGATCCCATGGCAGGATCCCATCCATAGTGCTTAGCTATGCAAATACATGAATAGCCCAAAGAAGTGATGCTCCTTGGGCTTTCCATCCCCTTTGGCATCAGCTTGCTGCTCTTACCTCCCCTAGGGATGCTTTTTTCACAAGGTTGCATGTGGTCTCTAGGTTACCATGTCCCTGGGAAAAGGATGGCTTTCAAATCGCACAGAGCTCACAGGAGCAAGCAGTTTCAAACAGCCCCAGGCTCCCCTGCTCATGGGGGGCTTTGTAATTGTTGCCAAGCTCGGAGGCGCCCTGATAATAATGATCATTAATAATTAATACGCTCTCTTTTTATCTATAAAGTGCTGAAGCCCAAGGGCTTCTCTGGGCTCAGCGCAAACACTCCCACTGCACTGAAACTGGGGTCTGAGTGTCTTGAGTTAAGAGGTCGTGTTTCCATGAATAATTCGCCTCGCAGAGATCCTCAGATTATCTTCTCTGTGGCAGCCCTGTCATGCACTGCTGTCATTTCCCTTGCCACTTACAAATATCCTTTTAACATTACACGCACAAGGCGCTTTATGGCACGCATGATATTTCTATTGCAACTGCGTATTGAGCCGGCAAGCGTATTGTTGTAACGAGATCTGCACACCTCTTACACTGGGCTTGTGTAGCAATAATTTAACCCTCTGTTAAGCATCAATTCCTGGTGCCCTAATGCAAGATGCTGCATATAATGTTCCTGCATCTGGCCATCGCTTCATAAATATTAATAAAATGTGGATACATGCTACTCGAATTTAAAGGGTTGACAAGGAGGCTTACTGTGGTAAAACTATGTCACCTACTGGCCAAAGAGACATGCTGCAGGTGAACTGGTTTTCTTCCTTTCTACACCCAGCTAATACTGAGCCCACGTTAAGAAAATCCTACGGTTTTTGGCCCATGTTGAACCCAGCGGGATTTTCCAAAGCACTGAAGTGCATTAGGTGCCTAACTCTTCTTTTCAGCTCTCAGTGGATATGTCTCTAGGTACCTAAATACCTCTGAAAATCTGGCACTTGGTTCTGTAGGAGCCTGGGTTTCACTAAAGGCCAATAGGGTTTAGGCTCCTAAGCTACTTAGGTACTTTTATCTCTCCAACTGAGAAAACCTGATACATTTGTGAGTGAAAAACAGCTAACAGCAACAATTCCCAAACAAGACATTTCTTACCAGGCTCAGCACCCTGGCATTAGATGATTTAGTCCCATCCTCTCAGCTGCACAATAGTGCTGCTGATGTTACAGAAGCTGAAGGCTGAATCTAGCCGGCACTTCTATTCATGGCCCAGGAGGCTGAATCAAGTGTGCAGCCTCGTTTCCCCAGGTGTATCGGTTCAGGGCTGCAGGAAACCTTTTTTTTACTAGTAGCCTTTACTATTGCCAATAAGAACAGTTATGCCTCTCAATCACTGATATATAAAGCCACTCAGTTATAATAATAATTATATAAATAGCATCGTAACTGTGCATGGTATGTGATGGGCTTTATCGTGGGGTGCACTGCTATAAAGCCACTCGGATATAATGATAATTATATATATAGCAACATAACTTTGCATGGTATATGATGGGCTTTATCGTGGGGTGCACTGATATAAAGCCACTCGGATATAATGATAATTATGCATACAGCATTGTAACTGTGCATGGTATGTGATGGGCTTTATCGTGGGGTGCATTGATATAAAGCCACTTGGATATAGTGAAAATTATGTATATAGCAACATAACTCTGCATGGTATATGATGAGCTTTATCCTGGGGTGCATTGATATAAAGCCACTCGGATATAATGATAATTATGTACATAGCAACATAACTGTGCATGGTATGTGATGGGCTTTATCTTGGGGTGCATAGACTGGGACAGAGAGTGGGTGGGAGAACATTGTGGCAATGTAGCTTAAAACTCCTGCATTAGGCGAGGGCAGGGTGAATTTATATCAAATGAGTTAGCTGCAAACAAGCCCTCCTCCGGTAGCAGGAAATGGCGTTGCTTTTGTAGACCTCTGCTGAGAGAGTCTCTGCTTTCCAGGGCTGGGTGTTTAACGTGGTTCCCTGGCTGGTTGCAATCCCGACAAGTCTGTTCAGCGGGTTCCTCTCTGACCACCTAATCAGTCAGGGTAAGAGACCCTTGGGGTTTTCCCCAGCTCTCCCCTTCCACAATGCAAAACAGGGACCGGATGGGAAGAAGTGGGTTTGTTGGAGGGGGAAAGGCACTGGATTTGTTCTCCTGGGAGATACCAGGTCCTCTGCACCTTTGCAGCTCCCTTTGGGCGTGCATATGCACCCATCAGGGAACAGATTCTGCTTCTGTGCATTCACTTTACCATCCACGCCCCTGGCACAAGCACAAAGCTATCTCTGTTAAAGTCTTCTTGACGGGAACGCTGCCCTTTCCCTTTCAGGGTACAGAACGATTACTGTTCGGAAGTTCATGCAGGTAAGAAAGCGAAAGCCTGTGAGTGAAACAACCGTTGTCCATGAGGCTGACCTGTAAAATAAGAGAGCTACCAGTGAAAATCAGATTAGATCTCATAGGGGAGCTAGAGTCAAGACTTTGATTGCAGAAAGGATGGTGGGAGATGGGCTGATCACTCAGAAATGGGCATTGGCGGGAAGGAGAATACAGAGATAGGGCATGGGGCTGTGTTGGGGCTTTGACATGCTATTATGCTTCAGCAGGGTTTGGAGATTTGTGGGTGTTATTGGTGGTGGGGGGTGGGGATTCCATAGAGAAAAAAACAACAGCATCTTTTCCCTCTAAGTGCCTCTCTTCATTTTGCATGAAGGCAAATGTCAATAGAAGAATGAGCAAGAATAAAATCCCCATGTGAGAGGCCCCCGTGTCATGTTAACCCGCTACTCAGCCTGTGTCTCACAAAGTGGCACCTTCCTGAGCAGGCAGGCAGAGGCTTTCGAGGTTGTCTGTATGCAAAGGCAGCAGAAGGTAGAGATGCCCACGGCCACATGCAGTCTCTCTAAAACTGAGAGCAGTCACCCAGCACAGCCCTGCGCCTCTGCTGAGACACAGAAGTTGTTCGCCTGGTGCAGCGCCGTCCCGGGTGTGATGAACAAGCACAAGTGTGTAAGACACTCGGGTGAATGTGAAGGTGTCGAAGTTGGGAGCACTGTTCAAGCCTCATCACTGGATGCCCCTTACATTTCAGAATTGCAAACCTGCCTGCTTCTCATCACAGCACATCCCTCAGATTTCCATTTCTCGTCCCTGCAGGTCATCGGCTCAGGAGTATCGAGCCTTTTTGCCTTATGCCTGGGTCAGACCTCCAGTTTTTGCAAAGCGATAGTATTTGCATCTGCCTCGGTCGGACTTCAGACCTTTAACCACAGGTAATTCTAGAGCAGCGACACTTAGCTTCTAGAGCACCGGACAAGGTGAGCTGTCGCTCATGAAAACTTATGTATCTCTGAATTAATTAGTCTATAAGATGCAGCTCTGCCCAGCCTTCTGCCAGACTTCAGGTTAACATAGCTAACTACCGTTCTTAATTTCTATGGAGCGCTTTTCACAGGAGGCCTTTTAGTCCATGGAGAAATTGAGATGCAAAGAGAAAAGTGACTTTTTTAAGAGTCACTTTTTTATACTAAGCAGGTGATTAACCATAGGTACTAACTTCCTGTGGATTTGCCTTTTCTTGTTCTGTTCAAATCTAGCCTGGGTGCCTGTTTGGGTGCTTTGGTCAATTAGTGCTGTAACAGGATGAAACGCTATGGCCTGAGTTACCCCAGAGCTCAGACTAACAGTCCCCTGAGACCTTGAGAGTCCGTGAAGCTAAGCACCCAACGTTGGTGCTGGATATTGGAGGCCAAAGGCCAGGAAGTGAGAGCCTGTGCAGGGAGGCCTGTGTACTTATTCGAGCAGGGAGAAGAGTCCTGGTAAGGTAATGGTGGTGGATTTTAGTAGGCTAAAGATGAACATGTGCAAAAGAAGCTGAGTTTTGCTCTGGTCCTCCTAGAGCATCTTCCCAGGTAGCTATGGCCATCTAGTCAGCCCTGCACAACCTGTGCCTTCCCACTTGTACTGAAGCACTTTGCTGCTTCTTGGCTTGGGTATTTCCACCAAGCCATCTCTTGGTCCCCACCGGTTCCACCAGCCTTCTCCTTTTCCGGTCATTTATTGGGCATGATTATCTGTTCCCCTTCGTTTAGCAAGTAGCTTGTTTGCCTTGTGGTTTCCCATAACAAAAACTCCCCCACGTGCCATTTCTCTTGTGTTTCTGAACAGCGGCATTTCCGTCAACGTGCAGGATTTGGCGCCATCCTGCGCTGGCCTGTTGTTTGGTGAGGATGTATTTTGTATGATTTTTATCTACATAGAAAATACAGGCATACAGAGAGGGGATCCTTCCCAGGGGAAGTGTGTGTGTGTGTGTGTGTGTGTGTGTGAACACTTGTAACTGAGGACAACCCAGAGGCTGCACTAGAGCTTCAGGCATGGACAGGGGGCTGAGTTTGGCTATATGTTTGCTGACACCCACAGCCAGCTTTGCAGGGGCAGAGCGGCCACCGCAGACTCATTGTGCATGTTTAAGAAAGGTCGACAGAGGACTACTTCACTGGTTTTCTCTGCAAGTGCATGTCCCAGAGGGAGCAAGATTCGGAAGTGGAATAGGGGGTGCATGCAGCCATGGCACAGACCTCTGCTTGTGCTCATTCACCTGCCCTTCGCCGGTGCAGGTCACTATATGCATGCCCTTCAAAGAGCCCAACACTCAAACACAATCAGGGATCGGATAACTGAAGAGGCGTGTACGAGGGTTAGTATTTCTAGTGGGCATTTCCAGAAAGGAAATTTTGTCTGAATCCAAAGCAAAGCCGTGGAAGAAGTGCAGATGATGGTGAATGAGCACATGTCAGCACCTAGCAAGTATTTCATGCTGAGAAGCAATGCACATACTTTGAAGTGATGCAGTGGTTTCTGGTTCTTCTCCATACAGGTGTTGGAAATACTGGTGGAGCCCTGCTAGGTAAGGGACTTTGCTGAGATTACACCACCCATGGGGAAATTTTATACAGCTGGTGAAGCTGATATGCTGGGGCAAGGATGCATCTTGGAGCTCTCACTTACATCTCCCTTCTCCTCTCTCCCTGCTCAGGTGTGGTTTGTGTGTACTTAGCCGGACATCTCATTGAAACAACTGGCTCTTGGATTTCTGTTTTCAATCTCGTGGCTATGGTTAACATCATTGGACTCTGTACATTCCTGATTTTTGGAGAGGCCCAACGGGTGGACACTGTCTCTGCATACATAGATCTGTAGTCCCAGTCTAGAGGAGCTTAGCAAATGAAGGCCATCAAGGAGGTTTCAGAGTGTTGTGTCTATTTATCGCAGCTGTGGAAGTGATCCTTTGCCAAAGAGATGATTGTTTCTTTATACAATTTAAACAGGAAAAACAAACCAAAACAGAGAGGTAATATTATGAGCCTGAATGAGACCTATTGGAGGGGAACCCAGAATTAAAATTTTGCTCTGGGCAGAGCCTTTTGCCTTTCTATCACCCATGTGAGTTTGACCCATGCCACTGGTGACTGAGCAAAGTAGCTGCTGGCTCGTGGGAAATGAGCTGGTAACTTCAGTCTGGTTCCTAACGTGGCAAAAAGCATCACCCCACTTGGTGTTTAATGGTCTCTTTGGTGACAGAATCAGCCAGGGGAGGAAAAGCCCTTTGAGAGCGAACGGCTGTCATCCAGGACCGAGCGGAGGGATCTGAACAGAGTGCGAATCGCATCCTGCGAGTGTCCGTCCTCTGCGGTTCTGGACCTGAATGAAGGACTTTAGTTTCCAGGGCTGCCAGTCGGTATTTGGCATCCTCACTAAATGAACTTAATGATCCAAAGGACTGTACCTGAGCCCTTAGCTCGCCCTTGTATGCTGAAGTATTGCACCATGCACAACAGGGACTGTCAGAGCGTGCGAGGGAGCGGGTGAAGAGCCAGATTATGGCTTTGTCCATTCAGTGAGTTTCCGACACAACGTCCATTGCGGGCAATGGACGCACAAAGTCTTCTTCGAACTGTTTAGCCATACGCTGTGAGCGTGTCTGAAAAGCGGGTCCATTCTGTGCTATAGATGCATAATATCAAGCACCTTCTCCTTGATTAAGTGTATTCCCCGTATGCATTCAGAGTTATTCCAAAGAAACTGAAAAGCATTTATATGGTAGGGCTTTTTTTTTTTCTTTTTAGATCCATGCTACTGAATCCTTACCAAAGGGAGATAACTAGCCATAGATGCTTTTGAACCTGAATATCTCAATTATTATTATTTATTCTAAATGCCAAAAAGCCATTTGATGCGCTCAGAGGCAGATTTTGCACACCTGGTTGTGTAAAACGCCTATTAAAAATCAACAGTAGTTCCAGGAAAGGAAGGCTTTCAACACCCTGCAATGTTGGTCTTGTAGGACCTCTGCTACAGATGAGAGTTAATGCAAAATCATTAAACATCTTTCCCTTTTCTGCACATGCCCCATCCTAAGAGCTTCAAAAGTTGCATTTGTTCATCCTCCGTGTGCATGTTTTCGAGGTTTGGATGGTGTAGGACCACATCTTCCAAGGGACTGCACTCTGGCTTTCATCTTCAGGTCTCTGTCAGATTAGTTGTTAGTTGGGAATCTCACAGCTAGGTCTCCGTCTGGTGTAAAACAGCACAGTTTCAGGGTGCAGAAAAGTGACAGTTGATATCAATTGCTGATCTGGCGTTCACTATCCCAAATCTGTGCTCGAAAAAACCCTGTGCATGCCAAATCTGCTCATCCAGATTTTTTGCCCCCTCCTTGCCAAATTTCTGCTCAGCACATATTTTACAGCCAAGTGAAATTTCTAAATACAGAGGTTTCTAATGAAAATCCTGACAGCACTTTTAACTACAGAGATGTCAATGGGTGCCACTAGTATACCTTGAGCCTTTAGCTATAATGCTGTATCAGCAGATAACGGGGCTGCCGTCCAGTGTCATCCCAGCCATTTATAGCACGCTTGTGACCGGGGTTGGAGGCCAGAGAGACGAGAGCTGTCTTTCTTGTGTGGTTTTTTCTCCCCTCGTGGCAGGCTGCTGATGTGCACCAGTTGCCCCATATCCTTGACAGATGAACACTGACTGCTGGGGGTGTTTTAAAACTGGCAGGAAAGTGAAAGGTGATGTGGTGACTATTAAACAGACCTTGCAGAAGAGAACACAGGGCTGAGTTTTTGCAATCAGACTTCTCTTCTCCGGTCAAGCATTTTGCCAAAAATGAAGTGGGAAATCACAAAATGCACTCATCCTTGCATCCTACATCCCCAGCCTCCTGGGGCTCGTTGGTGTTCGAGTTGGTCCTGGATGGTGGCACTATAAAGAGCTTTAAGGAGATCTTCACTTTTATTCAATATATGCTAGCCAGAAATATTGCTATTCATGGCCAAGAGCTCAAATTAGCCTTTTATTGCTTGCGATTCAATATATAAGTCAGGAGGGGTGTCAGGTTTTAACTACTTACAGAGAGGGGAGAAGTGGGAGACATGAGAAAGTTTATCCTCGCATATAACTTTGCAACATTTCAGTTAAACTCATACAAAGCCCTGTGTTTCACTCTTCTTTCAATTCAGTTTAGTTTAAATCGCTTAGGGATGGGCATCACCTAGCTTAATATCCTGGAAGAAGCCTCGTTTAAACTGAAATGAGTCTTCCCCATGCAGCCTTTTGCATGTGTTAAACAAGATCAGTGTAAAGCTATGCTTTAACTGCAACGAAGGCACATTTGCATGCGAGCAAACCTGAATTTCCCAAGCTCTGGGAAATTTTTAAGATGAGACGTTAGCAACAAACCCCCCAAACCAAACTAGCACTGCTGGCTGTGCCATCTGTAGTCTTTTCAGTGGCAGCTGACATTTGGTAGGTAATCTTGGATTATCAGTCTCTATAAATATACTGCCCTGGTATATCATATATCTAAAGAGGGTTTGATGCATATATTTCATGCATTTTGGTAAGGTATTGACACCATTTTTATCTGGTTGTATTTTTGTAAAACAATCTTGCCAAATCTTGCTTGTTTGATGTTTTTTGTTGCAGTCAGAAAGACCTATAAATAAAGGAAGCCAGTCGGCTGGACAAAGTCTTGTCTTCATTTGAACACGCAGGTTTTTCAAAGATATTTTGGTGACTTTTTCGACCACGTTTGATTTCTCTGCATCATTTCTGCACCTTATGAATTCCAAGCTTCAGCCTCAAACCAGGCGTTTGATGCTATAAATATATGTTTTTTACAGAAGGATGCTATGGATGGATTCTCATAAGTCTAACTGGATCCTCATGTCTGAACATTGTTGATGAATCTTGAATCCTGGAAAAATTTAACTGAGGTAGCAAGGACTTTGTGGGGTAAGTAGAGAAAGACAGGGCTTTGAAAATGTCTTTGTGCTGTTACAGGGATACTAATACAATAGCACTTCATTATGGGAAATCTGGGTAGCTCAGTCTGCAAACTATGCTCATTGACCTTGGCAACGGGGATGTGAATCAGGGATATACAGCAGAAACTTCCATGAGCTCGGGCTCAGATGCTGTGAAAAGATGTGCCCAGACCAGTGTATCCAATGAAGAGAGTGATTTGAATGCAGAAGACAGAAAGGGAGGAAGGGAAAGAAGCAGGGGGCAGGGTTAGTGCAAGGAGAGGCAAGCCATCAATAAACCCATAGGGATAAAGGGGTCACAACATCTAACCCAGGTAATGGGATAAGAATAAAGTGCAAAATGTACCCTGCCTGCTGCCTGACCTCAGATGAACCTGGTTAACTGCCTCTCTGCTAATGGGGTTGTGAAAAAAAACTTTGAATAATATCCCCAGCTCAGGGAAATCCAGGTGGCACCCCTGAAACTATTTCCCCCAATCATAGTTATTAATTAGAGCAATTACACACCAAAGGATCAAACCAGTACATCAAATATACACCTGCACCACAGACTCCATTAACAACGCATGTCCTTTCTCGGGGAATATACTGTTGATCCCACTTTCAACTAAGGAGGGCCAGTCACAAGAGCACCATCGTGACCCAAGAAAGGGTAGCGGTTTTTGAGGTGTGAGGGGAGTTGGGAATAGTTTTCACTTGATAATCTTGCTGACCTGGAGACCATAAGACTCAACATCCCAGTTTGGAACAGGCGTGCAGACGAAATGGTAAGTTATCAGATCATTCAGCTTTAATGCAATCCGCACACCAAACTTATTTACAGAAGAAAAACCTTATTAAGGAGAGGTAAGTCCCCCTGCAGCCTTTTGTATTTTTTTTTTCTGCTCTTCTATGTTTAAGGCATTCAGTAACACGTGCAAATCAGCAATGGTGTGCACCATTGGCCCATTATGCACCCGAACAGGGCAACTACACGTGTAAGAGAGGCATTTGCATTCCCGTGCATGGCTCTGAAGAGCCCTGGTAGATGAGGGTGAGATGGAGCTAACTAACATAACACCGACGCGGCTACAAACAGCATGCAAGATACCAAGCATAATGTTCTCTCCCCTGTTTGTAACTCATAATCTGTTAGCAACGTTTCATATGAGTTACCTTCCGTTAAACAAGGCTCATTCTTATTCTATATAGCTTGGCAGCATCCCTTTAATTGGCTGTTTAATTATCCAAAAATAATAATAATAATAATAATACATTCTTATTTGAGAATTTATGCATCTGAATTTCCCTGTGTTCCTATTAGTTGCGATTGTCTTTTATTGCATGTTTAAGACTCTCCAGATAGTAAATTCCTGTATGTTAACCCTTCACAACTCACATTTTGAGTTAACAGTCAGAGAGCACTAATTACTACTTATTTTTAATTGCACAAGTGACTGTGTTAATCACCAACTGAGTAGAGTTGTCCGTGCATGTTTTACCCAACAGAGATCACCTTCAGTAAGGAGAGTGCTGTAGAAAAACAGTCTTTCCAGTCCGAGCTAATAGGTTAGTCCAGATTCCAACAGAGGGAGCTGTTAGATTTGGGATACATCAATTCACATCTAGATTGAAAACTTGTTGACTTGGTTCTGAAAATCTGGAGAAAACGGTGCAATTAGGATTTGAATTGTTTCCTTGGTCCTGAGCATCCAGAAAACAGGCAGGAATATTCCCTCCTGAAGTTTCTGACCTCAGGTATTTGTATATAGATACAGGCACATCCTTCCCTGGGTATATTCTGTTATTTGCTTTTCTTCTTCATATGCACGTTCAACTATTGCTGTGAGAAACGAGCTTAGGGAGACACTTTATTGGGGGTAGAAGTAATTGTAAATAGCAGCTGAAACCTGAACATTCCCGTCCCCTCCCAGATCTGTAACAGCCTGTGTGTATGGGCATTCAGGTTTAACGTTTCACCCTTGCCCCTTTGGGAAACAAATGATGAGTACAGGTAAGGAGTGGTTCTGGGATATTAGTAGGGGGA